ATATATATATATATATATATATCGAGCGGTACACCAGAGCGTACCGCTCGGTATACTCGTATCATACCATACCAAGTTGAACTCGATATTTCGGTGCAGTATGAAATTACGAACCTTGATTGAGATAATTGATATTTCATGTCGCACTGTCACGGGCTTAACTAATTTTGCCTAAGTCGTGTGGCACATTTACGTGTTTGTCTGTAAAGGATTAACTTCCTTGAAACCTCTTATAGTCTCTTAAGTACCTACAAAAAAGAAAACAGGTTAGAGGAAGCGTTTAACTGGGGATCTCACAAGCAGATATTTCAACAAACACTTGATAGGCAATGCAAATTATAAATATAGACTTCGTAAGTTATGAATGGTCGCGTGACAAAGGGTCTAAGTTGGTTCGTCGTGGCCAAAAGTCCCCATATGATATTGCTGCGGAACCCCAAAGTCCCATCTAGTCATGTGCCGCCCGGGTAGCTCTAGGGTGCTGTATTGGCTGACACTCTACCACACTCCGCGGAGCTAGAAAAACCCAAAAATGGTTGTCTTGATGGCATGTTCTTGGGCAATTTTGACTTTGCGCGATGATTGCACACAACTTGCGTTTACAGGATTGAAATGGCAACAAAAGCCAACTAAAATGGGTTGCCAAGCTTATTGTAAGCCCCCTATATGCTATGTAAAATATGAACAAAACAAAAAAACACGAATATATACAAATATTATATCGAACACCATGTGTACAGATTTGTTTGTGACATTCTCCCCCATTTATTTCTTCGATGTCCTTGTCGAGACTTTGTGCGTCAGTCTCTCAAACGTCTTGTGCCGCTTAAACTAGGTGGATGCCTGTTGGAGCTTTTACGAGCATCGCCTCGCAGACTTTGAAGTTTTTGAGGTCTTTCTTCTGTAAAATTTTTTCATCGATTCTTCTATAACTTAGTTGTCGCCTTCAAGTAGGTTTGCATCACTGCCATTTTCGATTGACATTCTATTGGCAAATGAAGCGGACAATGTACTGTCGGTAGAATCAATCATCATTGGTAAGGATTTGACAACTGTTATTTTTCACTAAGTCTCTTCGAAGGGTTTTTGAACATATACAAATCTCTTTTGTTGGATAAATAGGAGAACTGGGGTACTCGATTTTTTCCATTCTCTTAATAGTTGAGAAGACAAATGTTACTTGAATTTACCTGCCTCCTTAAGGGTTGGACTTCATGCATCAAGCTGGTTACTAGCCTTTGCCTTATCTTTGCTCACATTTCTAAAGCACCTAAAGTGTTTGCACTCTTTGCATTGAGTTAGCTACTGCAATTCTTTTTCTTATTGCCATCAAACTTTTAGGATGTAACAAGTTTTGCTTGAAAAGAGTAAAATTTTACCCCAATTGGAGCAAGCCTCTGATAGTTTTGGTCGCCTCTAGGATTGTACCGTCATCTTCATCATTACCACCGTCCACTCTAAGTAGAAAAGGTATAGCACCGCGTACTGCCTACTCTGTTCCTTGGTCGAACACTCCTACATTGACTCGAAGTCCCCTACTTTCAGTTATCTTGATGAAAAGCCTATCGACATCAGCCTTATGAAGTTCCTTGGCCTTGTCTTGGTATTTGGAGTTTGCATCTGCATTCTCCATCTCCTCATCCCCCTCCATGAGAGTAAGGGTATGAGAGTAAGGGTTTGATGACTCCATTGCCTTGTCGATGGCCTTACTATCCGTCGCCTCGTATCTGCTTCCTTTTTCACGATTGGTATATCAACCTCTACGGCACTGTGGCACTCCTCCGAGGCCACCTCTATCCTAATTGACGTGTGGTTTTGGGTAGCTAAGTTCCTATAGACTTGTCGTCGCTTCCTCACCCCTTTCGACTACACCTTCGTATTCTTCGAGCAGTTCCTCTTGGTTGAGGAAACGATATACTTCAACTCCTATGCATGGCCTTCGCCATCATGTTATAGGGTTTGCGTCAATTTTGTTCTCCTTTGCATCTTTGGTAGCAACGTTCGCTCGCTCGACCTTGTCCTTCAATTTGTCGAACATCCTTAAGCGAATATGAGCTCTGGAGCAGTCCGACTTTTCAGTTGCTTTGATCATACCTCTGTATGATCAAGTCCCCTCATGGGACTCACTGATACTTGCACTCGAAATCTCCTTCGATGGTACACAACCCTTCATATGTTAATGACCAAGGCTTTCATCCGATCCAAAATTCGGTACACGCATGAAAGACTTGCCTCTGTGGTATCATGATATTCACTCATTGAATCCATTACCCTTCTTGCTGTCATGTTACCGAAATGGAGCTCCCAGTAGCTCATGATCATACCTCCGTATGATCAAGTGCTTCACGGGCCTTCTCTCGTGTGTCGCATTGCCTTGAACTGTTCTACCTTGATCCGTTGCACCATTTTGTCTCATGGTGACATCTCTATCGCATTATAATCTTTGTGGATGAACTCGGATTGTGATCTCTCCATGTGTAGCCTCTACCAGCACATCACAAGGCCTCTGACACCTCTGATTGTGTTCTTTATTTTGGCAATCAACCTTTGTCCACCTGCCCTTGGGTCACACAAACGAAGCGCAACTCTAGGATAGTCGTTGCTCAACAGCTCTTGAAGTACATCGACTTTGCTGAAATTGGTGTGCTATTATCTAGATCCTGGGCTACCCCCATCATAATCTCCGCTATGCACAGCTTCCTTTGCGGTAACTTGAATGACAACATTACGATATATTCTTCAAGAGTACCCGCCTATGTGTTCTCTTTCCTCGTGCCAAGGTCTTTTAACCCTAATTTTGCCATCACAAGTTGAGTCGCTTTAGTCCCTTCGTTAATTGCTTCGTCAAGATAAAATGCATGTGCCTTGAAGCTCCCTTCGACTAATAGTATGCAAGATGAGTTCGCTCCATCGGAATGAGGAACCTATAGAATGACATGATCTCGCTCTTGCCTCTGCAAGAGTTCTTGTCCTTGATCTTTGTCCAGGAAAAGCTTCGTGCCTTCACTCCATGTCTCGTCTTCTATGTCAACTTCCTTCATGTGACTTGGGCTTTTCACCAAGTTCTACCCGAGTTGCTCTGCTCCTCGATTTGCATTGAGTTGATGGTGGCCCTTGCGCCCCCCATTTCACGGGTCAGCCCACCGTTAAGTCCATTCTCTGCATTGGCTTTGAGTGTGCTTTCGTTTGGTATTGTCTTGGGTTGCTCTCGTACTTGATCTCATAATGCGTCCACCAACGCATTATCTCGTTTGAGATTATGCGACGACTTCTCGTTGCTTGCTCGGTCCATTAAGTTTTATGGAGCTATTGTCTTGAGAGACCCTCCCTCAACATGTGCGGTCCGTTGCACATGATTCTCCTTTTAAAGAATTGAAATTTATCCCTCTTGGATATTTATCCCGTTGGACAACTTTCCTCTTCGCATCCTTCCCTTTGGAAGTTTCGGAGACCACCATCTTCTTGGACTACTCCGCCTTGTTGAATAAACTGCGCACTGTTCTACCACCGTGAATACACTTGTTAGATTGCGACTCATCGCCAATATAGCTCCCGTTGTGCCCCTAAGGACATAACAATATGCTTAACCTACTGCACAGTTCAACCTCCTACTTACGTGTTCTTCCTATGTCGAAGATAAAATTTTCATGCTCTATGGTGTCAAGTTTCGATCGCCTTGGGATGGCCACGGATAGTCCATCGTCCGCATACAAGCTCTTGCATAAGTACCGAGTTCTTCGAGTTAGCAATTACCCTCACCTCTGTGAGTTTTGCACAACTCTTTTAGTCGCTAAACAGTAAACAACACATCTCTCTTTGCATAGTCTCATCCATTGTCAAGTGCTCTCGCTTGCCTTGAGCACTGTCAAGTTTGGTTGTCAATGTCGAGTTGTAGCTTGAACTCAACTATCTCAACCTTTGTGCACTATACGTTCTTCCTAACTCGCTTGTCTTCATGGTGCCTCTTACGCGAAGGATTGGCCATTCCGTAGAATGCTAATCTCGGATGCCCGCTCCTTTGAGCGACTTCTTTCCCTATGTCTCTACGCTCGTTTCCCTCAAATGATCATGCTCATTGTCTGCTATCAACGTAGCCCCGTTAGGTCCTCCACGTTTATATGCCAAGTGTTTGTCAATGTGCTTGTTTCGCTTTGATACCATATGTTATGGACTTAGTTGGTTTTTCCTAAGTCATGCGATACCCTTATGTGTTCGTCCGCAATATGTTAGCCTCCATGAAGTTTTTTATGGTCCCTTAAGGACTTGTAAAAGAGAAAATAGGTTAGAGGAAGTGTTTAACTCGGGATCCCACAAGTAAACATTTTAGCAAACACTTGATAGGCAATACAAATTATAAACATAGACTTTGGAAGCTCCCAACGATCACGTGACAAAGGGTCCAAGATGGTCCACTGTGGCAAAAGTCCTCATAAGTGCCCACATGATATTGCTACAGAATAAGGTAGCGAACTAGCCCTAGATAATATACCCCAAAGGCTCATCCAGCCATGTGCCACCCGAGTAGCTCTAGGGTTTTGTATTGGCTAACACTTCACACTACTTTACGGAGTTAGAAAATCCCAAAAATGGCCCACTTGATGGTTTGTTCTTCGGCAATTTTGCCTTTGTGCGATGGTTGCACACAACCTGTGTTATATGACTAAAACGGTCATAAAATCCAACTAAAATGGGGCTGCCAAGCTTACTGTAAGCCCTCTGCCTGCTATGCAAAGTATGAATATAACTGAAAGTCATAGACATACACAAACATTACATCGAATACCCTATGTACAGATTTGTCCGTGACAGCACAGCTGCCTCAAAGAAATCAGCCCACAGGCTGCGTAGCTTTGCGGACTGGCTTGGCTTAAAACTAGGGAAAAACATACAAAAACCAAGTAAATTACGAAGTCAAGCAGCTGGACAAGAAATCAAAAGCGGAAAATAACGAACGATATACCATTACCATGGCTATTGCCATTGCCATTTCCAATTGCTTCTTAAAGCAAAAGCAATTCATCCTCTTTTCTTTCTTTTTTTTATTCATTACCATTACCTTCTACTTTTAGATGAAGGTGGAACTTGTTGACAAGGTCGTTACTTCTTTTAGTTATTCGACTGCCGCAATTCTTGAAGCTTTTTTTTTATTCTTCTCCAATTCTTCTGTCTTTTCTTTTGATCAGTTTGTCCAGCAAAACCACTGGGGTGATAAAACATCCACATCAGGGTCAGGAACTGCATATCACATCCCAGATCAAATTGGGTTTACCCATGTTTGATAACAATGAACAGTATTAATATAGTAATTTGACTGGGAACTCTAAAATGCAAGGAAATATTTGTTATCAGTATTTGGGGCCCATTTGCTAGCTTCTGAAAATGTGTATTTAGGGTGCATTCTGGGTTATTTGAACTTGTGATATGGTAGGTGTTCAAAGGAACCATTTGGTCATCAGAAAAAGTCTCACTGAAGTTACTGCTTGCATTTCCTTGTTTATCTTTTTTCATACTGGTTTTGGTACTTTTGTTTTAGATTAACCACTTTAGCAGTTTATATCATATCATTTTTAGTAGCGTACTAATGTTTCATCTCAAAGGTACTTCTTTGAGAAATTTTACAAAGAACCTTTATACATTGTTTTAGTTCTGCATTATGCTAGCATTTTCTTCTTTTCTATAGTTTTGGTTATTCTTTTGATGTCAGATACCTCTGAGCCAAGTTACTTCAATCATAGATGGTTTGAAGAGATTATACGTTGAAAAGCTGAAGCCCTTGGAAGTTACTTACCGGTTCAACGATTTTGTTTCACCCCTTCTGGTGTGTCTGGCTGTATCGAGTTATTCTTTGTTTGCAATTGCATTTAAAGTTGTTGCATTTTGTGTATAAGACTGTTAATTAAGAATGTAATGTCAACACATTTTTTGCACCACCTAGATATCCTCATTAAAATTTGATGTCATTGTCCATCCTGGTTGTTTTTGCAGACAAACAGTGATTTTGATGCTAAGCCCATGGTTATGCTCTTGGGTCAATATTCTACTGGAAAAACGACATTCATAAAACATTTACTCAAAACTAGCTACCCAGGTTTTTATCGGTGTTTCCTAATATTTCTATTGTTTGTCAAAGAAGCAAGAATTCTGTAATATGCTATTGTCTTTGATGTTTATGCAGGTGCTCATATTGGACCAGAGCCTACAACTGACCGATTTGTTGTTGTTATGGTATGCGAAAACCTGGAGATGCTTTTTGTCTACTTTTTTATATGTATTTGTTTGTTTTTTTGTTTGGTTCTTTTTTGTGCAAGCTAGTCATATTAACAATTGATCACTGCTATGTAAGTTGTTGACTATTTTACTTGAGACCTTTTTTATCACTTGTATTTTTAGTCATAAAATTATTCAAGCATAGTATTGTCAACCTAAGCTACAATGTAACTCACCAATGCCAAATTTTTAAATGATGAGAGATGATCAACCGTGCAAGTATAAAAATGACTTTGATAAACACATCACACACATGGGTTGTCAGAAGAGTGAAGTGTCTAGTGGCTTTGAAGGATAGCTGATGCAATGGCTTTTGATAAACATTCTAGGGCACTAGGGATTAGTTCATAACTCCATATCTAGCTTTGTTCATATTATCTTGAGTAAACTAATTAACTCCTTTAGATACAAGCCTTGATTCTAAACTGATTGTTATTTGATTGTGTGTTATGCAAGATATCCTTGGGATCTTTGCTATGGCTCGGCATCAAATGTTGGAAGTCTGCAAGAGTGAGAAGATATTATCTAAAGAAGTTTGTTCTTATGTTTCAACAAGTTTGTTCTAGTGATGAATCCAGAGGACCCATTATTGACATTCACAACAAGGTCTCATGAATATGCCCGACAGAAGCGACTTGTAGGCTGTATGCCTACAGAAGAGACCTAAGAATGCCACTGAATTGTTGAAACTGCCGCTTTAGATTATCGCAGAAGGTCTGTCTGAACTTCTGACACACCCAACATCTCTCTCTTCTTCCCTTCTTTCCTCCCTCCCTCCCCCTTTCCATCCCTATAGCAAGTGGCACAAATGATGAGTGGCTGCAAACCATGAGTAACCTTTGATTGTGTACTAGGATATAATTAGGGCTTTTCTCTCTCGACTTCTTTCCCTGTTCTTGTGCTATTTTAATAGTTGCTTTTCTTACTCCTTTACCTCTCTTCTCAAGGATGAGTCCGATTCATTTGATTTTGGCCTATATCAGTAGGTTCAACTGATCAAGGCTTAGTCTGGCTGATTTTTTGGTAATATAGACGAATCGGGCAAAAATTGTTTTGTCCTTGATTGATGCCCCTATTCAGATAAGCTAGATGATGTCAAGATTGAGCAATCTGATGAACCATTCATTATATGATTATAGTTTCTGTTATCTTTAATATCACTTTTTGTTGAATAATTTTGATGTAGTTTATTTTTGATTCACTATTTACTTATGATTACTGTTTTGGTAAGAGATTCTGTCAAATAAGTGCCCTTTATGTCAATCTCACAATATTCTCATGGTAGTAGTTCATGTGGCTTGGAGTTGTGGTTAATTGCCAGGAGTAGTAACTTACTAAACAAGGACTGAAGAATCATATGCTACGTCTATGCCAGCCATGTGCTGAGATGATTTCTTACTCATGCTGTGTTCCACATTTTTTAGATAAAACATGTCTAAGACCTTGTCATCGTGCAATGCTGTTAAATGTTTCATTCTGTTTGATGTTGAACGGTCATATGGTAGCATGGACTGACTTTCACCAGCTTGCATGCATGGAACTGTGCACTTTGATGCATTGCCATTTTTCATATGTGGCTTACATGAATTTTGCAGAAATTTTGGTAATATTAGTAGGATAAAAGTTATCTGATGTAGTTTAAGTGCCTTTTCTAGAGATGTAGCTTGTGTAGCTAACAAATGGTACCAATATTACCACTAGAGTATGTTCTCACTAGTTTCACTTCTTCAGTCGGGACCTGATGAAAGGACTATTCCTGGGAATACCATAGCTGTTCAAGCGGATATGGCTTTCAGTGGTCTTACAATGTTTGGAACTGCATTTTTGTCAAAATTTGAGTGCTCACAAATGCCAAATCCGGTATGGTATAATCTTAGCTTCTTTGGAAGGCGTGTATATTATATTTAGAAGCTAACTACTCTGTATTTGTGCAGCTTCTGGAACATATCACATTTGTTGACTCTCCTGGGGTTCTTTCTGGAGAAAAACAACGTACTCAACGCAGTTATGACTTTACCGGTGTGACATCATGGTTTGCAGCAAAATGCGACCTTATACTTCTTCTATTTGATCCCCATAAGCTTGACATCAGTGATGAGTTCAAGCGTGTTATTGGATCTCTGCGTGGTCATGATGACAAAATACGTGTGGTTCTAAATAAGTCAGACCAAGTTGACACGCAGCAGGTGAAACACTTAAAAAATTAAATACTTTGGATTGCCATGAGATCATCACTTATATTATCTTATGCAGTCGCTTAGGTTGCTTTTGCCAATTTTTAAACCGCAGTATATTTTTAACCTGGTTGAGTTGCCTTCTCTTTGCAGCTAATGAGAGTTTATGGTGCATTGATGTGGTCACTTGGGAAGGTTCTGAATACTCCTGAAGTAATGCGTGTCTATATTGGGTGTGTTCGCAATACTTATGGTTGTACTTTGAATAGTTTGATTTCTTGCATAAGTTTAATTTTTTTCCTAGCTTATCGTATAAAACATTTTTGATCCTTAAGAAATTACATGTTCCTAGGAGCATGAGCTGGAGTTTTGACTTATTCTTACTATACAATAATCACTAGGATTAGAACTCTTATGGGTTAATGAGTTCATTTTGTAATTTTCTTGTTTAAGACTTTTCTAATTATAATTTACAGTTCATTCAATGACAAGCCAATTAACGAAGCAGCTGTTGGTCCACTTGGAAAGGAACTGTTTGAAAGAGAACAAGATGACCTCCTTTCTGATCTGAAAGATATTCCTAAGAAGGCGTGTGATCGCAGGGTAATCTTGTGACAACTCCTTTCCTTTTTCTGTTTTTATGTGGATCCTATAATCTGTTCAGTCTAATCTTCATTTGGTTTCAGATCAACGAATTTGTTAAGAGGGCTCGAGCGGCAAAGATTCATTCTTACATTATTAGCCACCTGAGAAACGAGATGCCAGCCATGCTAGGCAAGGCAAAGGCTCAACAACGGCTCATTGATAACCTGGAGGATGAGTTTGCAAAGGTAATGTTTCTTTTTCTGTTTAAAGTGCATAAAAATGTTTTAATGTTTAATGAGGACCATATGTAAATATCGCTCCATGTACACGTGATATAGTTGTTGGCGATGCTTGTGCAAGCAGATACACATACATGTTTGAGAAATGAGAGGATCATTTCTTGTTTAAACTAGTCAGTTTCTATAGCATGACAGTAAGCATCTCAAAGTGATGCATACACCGGTGTGTTTGAGAAATGAAAGGATCATTTCTGTTTTAACCAGTCTCTCTTTCTATAATGTAGAAAGCATGATATCAAGCATCTCAAAGTGATGCAATGTTCAAGCAACCATGGTATGCAAGCAGTGAAGTTGCCACACAATGGATGTACAATCTTAAAATATGTAATTAAATAATAAATAGGTAAATGTATGTTGCTGTCAAGTCAAGAACTTGTGGAAACAGTGGAATAGCTAAAAATGCATGTTATTAGACTTCTATTATCATTGGCCATAGCCTTAGGTACATGCTGCTGGATATTCTGCATATGAACTAGTAGCATGCAGTAGGCACATGCCACATAAACTATGTTTAAAAAATCAAACACTTGTTCATTTTTTATGCTGTTGAATGAATATTATAATGATCTTTAGGTTATGCAAAATGTCTGAGTTGTTTTTCTTCTAAATATTTTTCTTAAATGCAAACCTCCTGAATTTCAATATTTTCAGTTCACCCTTGGGTTGTTGAAAGTTTGAGAATATTACCTATACATTTTGCATGTGTATGTTTAGATGTGTGTGGATATATGTTTTGTCAACATGTGTACATAGGCTATAGTGAGAGATGGAAAAATGACTGAAAAATGTCCATTTGATAATATCAAATTCAGTATAGGAAATTGTCAAATGAAGAGTCAGTATGGTTCATAGCCCTTCTTTTCATTAAATAAATCTCGCCAACCTTGATTTTTTGAGGCTGTGACAGAACATGTAAGGGGTCCTTTCCTTTGTACCTGTGCACATCCAGCACATTTCTTTTCTTGAGTATTAAATTTTTGACTTAATCTTTATTGCTTCATGTCAACGCACTGTGGGTCAACTGGGAATCTTGCTTGATGAACTTACCATACTTGATCTTTAATTTGATAATTCTTTCAAATATTGGATTGTTGACCTGTTGCTTCTAATCATGGATCTAATGGGTGGATATAAACAAATTAATTCTTGTTTTTCACACCTTATTTCTTCTGTTTATTTCATTGACCTTGAAACTGGAGTTTCTCTCTTTCTGCCAATTTATTAGCACATTTTATACACATTTATGCACTGCATGCTTGTCAGGTAAACTTCTGTATCTTTAATATGAAGTGCAATTTAATCATTTTCACAGATATATGCCAGCAATTGTTTGCTTCCTTTGCTCTTATTATGGATGTGATAGAGCACAGAATATATTGATCATTTAATTTTCTATTGCCTATTCAGTTAGTTCTTCAGAAATCTCCCCCTCTCTAAGTAATAGTTTCTATATTTTTTTGGTTTTCTTTTCCGTTTGAAGCATCTCAACATTTAATTGCAGACTATAGCTACACCATCTGTTCTTTTTGAATTATGGCCATTTCATAATGCCTAAAGACTCACATGTATTTTTAAAGCAGGTTCAACGGGAATACCATTTACCAGCTGGAGATTTCCCCAATGTCGAGCACTTCAGAGAAATCCTAGGTGGTTACAGCATCGACAAGTTCGAGAAACTGAAGCCAAAAATGATACAGGCCGTTGACGATATGCTGGCATATGACATCCCGGAACTACTAAGAAACTTCAGAAACCCATATGAACGGTAAGTTGTCATCCCCCAGATGCAGTACAACAGCCACCAAAGAGGGCATTGAGTTCGTCCGATCATAGTATCACTGCAGCAAAAAAACATGCACTGCTCTGGTTGTTCCATGCTTGTACCAGTTTGTCCGAGATGTGTAAGTTTGTGATCTACAATCTGGCCATTGTTGGCTATTGTGATAAGAACATATTTCGCTGATTAACTGATGTAATATCTAAATCGTGATCATCTTTCCATTGCAATAATTATGTTGTGCACCCAAAAAGGAACCCTTTTTGGGTTTACCCTCTAAACTTAATACCCGAGCCGATAGTGAACTAGTTCAATGTTGAAGATCTCGTAGTATCAATGTTGAAGCCTATGTTGTGGGATGCAGAAATCCTTAATCAACCTCTGAATTCGGAATCTAGGCATGTAATTTCAAACCAATGTTTTAAATACCAATCCACTGCCAGTTTCGACAATTGGTCTGATCAGAACAATATAATCCTTTCCAAGCGACATGATAGTGCGTAGCGTGTAGCGTTTACCCTCTAAACTTAATACCGATAAATAACAAAGCGATATATTTATTACTAACACCTCTCTTCCTATTTTTAATGATTGACATATTTGTAACCCATGGGCCTTAAAAAGCTTAATAAATCTTGTATCGTACTTATAGTCTCTAAATTACAGCATCCAAATGAGTCTAAACACACTGACCCTTTGCAAGATTCTAAATATTAGTCCAAAATTGATATCTCACGATCGATATATCTACCTATACTGTTTCATATAGTTAGAAAAAATAACTATGAAACAGATACTAAAGGCGGTCGATCCTTCGGCCTTACATCCCCCTTTTTTCGCGTCGTCACTTTTCGTCTTCTCGTCGTGATTTGGGCCGGATCGTATCAGGTTTCTCCGTCGGGTTTCGGATCCGATTGACCCCAGTGAATTTAAATCCGATCCGCTTACAGTTTGGTGGCGTCGCACCTTAGTCAAGATCCGGTATTCCCGACCCGATAGTGAACTAGTTCGTTATATACATTACAGCACTCCCGTTATAGACGCGTCATCACGTGTTGTCTCTCTCCTCGTGGCGTTCGGTTCTCGGCTCCACCCTTCTTAAGCGCCCTCCCTCGCCAGCCTCTGTGCTTCGACGGATCTCCGCTGAACTCCTAGATCAGGTTTGAACCAAGTTCTCGTCTCCCATTTACTTTCTTGTTCCCGATATTTATCGTTTGATTTGTTATTTTCGACGCGCTTTGCAACGATCTGAGTTTTCGATGTTGATGGATCTCGAGTTTCTCGCTTGAATCTGTTATCCCCCATCGTTCTCAATGTTCGTTCTCTATCTTGTTTTGGATCCAGTTTCATTTAGATCTCGTCTTTGATCGATTCGTTGATCTCTCTTGGGTATAGAATGAATATATGTAGGAAAAAGGTGTGATTACATATTAACTTTCGACACTTAGATAGATCTGCTATAATTATAGATTTTTGTATGTAAATGAAGGAATTCAAAGTGTTGATAGGTCCTAAATAAGTGAAAATTTGCGTGCTTTCATTTTTTTGTTCTGACTCTGGTGATCTTCTTGCTAATTTGGTCTGTGAGATTGGTCGCCGGTTGTCTTACAATGAAGAAAATTTAGTTTATCCATTTATGATTTTATGAACTTTTTCTAATGTATATATTTTTGTCGGAGACTGTGTTCTGGGGTATAAAGTGTTTTCTTTAAATGATAATCTAACTGCTTGATTCTTTTGTCAGATTTCCTGCAGTATATTTTACCAATATTTTCCTCCAGTGCAGTTGGGTTGATAGTTGCTTGGGGCGTCATATTCGTTCAAAATGGTATGAAATTGTAGTAATGTTGTTTTTCGTTCTTTACCTATACAATCTACTGGCATAAGTTGGCTTTTATGCTCATCTGTCTTGTACATGCTAACACAGTTTCAAGAAGCATTTAGTATATCAGGCTATGGACCAAGGTAAACAATACCGAATAATACTGCCCGGTATGAACGATACATACCGGTTCGAAGGTATACCGGTACGCGGACCGTCTATTACCGGACCGGACGGAACGAATAATAATATTAAAATTATATATATATATATATATATATATATATATATATATATATATATAAAAGGCTCGGCGACGTCACCGAGGCGATGCAACGTTGCCTTTTTCGGCGACGTCGTCGAGGTGATGCGACGTTGGCTTTTAAATAAATAAAAAAAAATATATATAAATATATATATAATCTTATATATATATATATATATATATAATATTATATATATACCGAGCGGTATATCGTTCCGTACCGAACCGAGCGATCGTTGAAACTCCGGTACGGTACGAAATTTCAGACCTTGCTATGGACTATGTTGTGTTTGCAAGCTGATCACTACTTAAACCATTTTCTGTTTAAACATGATAAATCAATTCCTTCGGCTGCTTTAATAAATATGATTTCCTTTTAAATTAACCAAACTTGACTAAGGTTTGATACAATTTATCTATTTTTTACGGCTTGGATTGAACAGTCCAATTACTACCAAGTTAACCTACCCAATAAAATTTTCTCACTATTTTTAATTCTTCACCAGTTACAGAGATTATGTGTTTTCTGGATGGAAGGACCAGAGCATTTATAATATTGGCTTATAGAATAATTTTCTGAAATAATGATTATGAGTTGAATGTTGATCTTTCATCCTGATTGAACTTTTGGTCGTTCGTGTTACTGACCTTAGAGGATATGCCAGGATGTTGCGATAAATACTTAGTTTAATTGCTTTTCATCAACCCAAATGTTTCTGTGGCTCATCTAATGAGGACTCTAACATAAGGACTATCTCTTGATATTTTGTTTCTTTAGAAAATTTGATTTTATGCAATATATTATGCATCGCTAAATTAACACAAATGACATGGCATAGACAATTAGTCGACTTATATGGCTTGAAATTCTCAGTGACTGGACGATGAGCACTTTGATGTGCATTTCAGTAATGTTTTTTCGAAGAACTAGTTGTCTGTTGCATTATTTTATACACTGTCTTTAAGTATTAACTGTTTATACTGTTGGGAAGGCATTTTATTATACAGCTGAGTTCTCCGATCCTAGTTGAGCTGCAAAAAGAAAAATACAGTGAGATGACCTTAAAATTCCCATAGGAGAGTAACCATCTGTTAGTAGCTAACTTAAGAGCAAACTCTTCTATATTGCTCATATATTGTTGAGGGTTGGTAATCTAATTTTTTTAGCACATCTATTTTGTTGATGGAGGAATATAATTTGTAACCCTATAAATATTGAAAATTATAAACTTTCCTGTTGCGAAGTTAAATTGTATAGAATATTCCTTAAAACTGTTTAGACACTGGCATTTCATCCATGTTTTCTTTCACTGCTTTGTTTCCATTATTGTTATCAATTTTAATTTACTTTGTTCTTTATTTTTTGGTAGTACAGTACTATATGATGTCAAGGGATTATATGTGCTCTGAAAATGATAAAGCAATTATTTAAAAATGGGAGTGATTTGGAGAATTACTTGAGCTAAATAAATAACCCAAGATTCTTGTTGTAGCTATAATGGGTCAATATAAAAATTTTCCTGTTCTTGCTTTGGATTCTTTTTTGTGCTTGGGGTTGTAATGAAATTCAGGAGTGCAGATCCTCTGTATATAATGATGCTGTTTTAAGCTTCAATAGTTCATCTTAGTTTAAGTCAGATAGGAGGTAGCCAAATGACTCTGCCCTGCTAAGCATCTTTTCGTATGTTGGATCAGGTTGTTCTTGCTGCTTCTATCATAACCAAGTCTGGAAAAGGTGAGTTGGTTTCATATTAGTTTGGTACTTTCAATTTCTACATCACACTATGACAATTTGACAAATGATCTTTACTGTTGGTTCTTCATCGCAGTTAAACTACTAAAGAAAATATAGTTGTTTGACTTTGCTTTGCCCTCATATACACAAATTTTAGTATTTATTATTGCCTGCTGAAGATTTGTTATCCAACACATTGATATAAACTACTTAAGAAAATATAGTTGTTTGACTTTGCTTTGCCCTCATATACTCAAATTTTAGTATTTATTGTTGACTGCTGAAGATTTGTTATCCAACACATTGGCATTGTGATATTAATAATCTAAATCAGCTGCCATGATTTTCAATAATTTCAAATAGCTTGGACCTTTGATTTGGAGCTTAATTATGTTTCCCTGATTTTGTTGCTTTTCAAATTGAACTTAATTTTCCTAAATCAAAGCTCCATGTTTCTTTAGTTGCATTTGCAAACCCAAATTGATTAAGTGTTTGTTTCTTTTTATTATATTTTGATCAATTGAAACATTGGACTTAGTGTCCAAGCTTTACTCTCACTACATAGTTCCTTGCAGGCTGCATATCTAACTTCTCCCTTCATTGAGGTTACGTCCATTGTTAATAGTATTCTGACAGATCTATTGGTTGCCATCAAAGTTCTTTTTTTTTTGTCCAATCAGCTCAAATGAAAACAAACAGATGCTTTTTTTTTTTTTTTCCAAATTTTACTCCATAATAACTTTTGAAATATACCTGAAATTGTTATTTAGGTCATTTGTCTATTATTTCTTTTATTTTATACATTTTGGACTCAAATTTATATCTTTATTTTTTGAAATACCAGTTTTATGCATATCATAGGGCATTCTAGTGATCTAGTCGCCTAGAGTCTTGCTTCATTTTGTCTTCATCCTAATAATACTTGAATGTGTTTCTTCTAATTTACTTAGCTTATTTTTACTTGTTTGTCTTCGTATAAAAGTCAGAAATTATGTATAATTTGGGAATCAAAACCAAGATTTCATTAGGACTCTTTTGTTGCTACTTTCACTTACTGTTTCCTCGGATTCTTTCAGTTCTAGTTTATGTACTCCTCAAGAAACTAAAAATTTTGTTGAGAATGATTTTCATGGTTTAAACTTTAAGGTGCTTTGTAATAGTATCTACAAAAACAGGAAACAACCTTGCTTCTTATAGCAGTAACATCATGTATCTTGACCTTTTCTGGATCCTGTATTGGCAGGACCATGATTGGTTGGATCACAATATTTATTGATAAAAGATTTGCTATAATACTTTATCTTTTTCTTCAGATTCTATTATAATCCAGATTTACTCAATAAAACATAATTCCATGGTAGAGCATATTATCTAATTATTACTATTCCTTTTGATTTAAACTGCAGTGTTGGTTTCAAGGCAGTTTGTGGACATGTCTCGAATAAGGATAGAAGGATTACTAGCTGCCTTCCCAAAGTTAGTGGGAACCGGAAAGCAACATACTTTTGTTGAGACTGAAAATGTGCGCTATGTGTACCAACCAATAGAAGCACTATATCTGCTACTAGTTACAAATAAACAGAGTAACATTCTTGAAGATCTGGACACATTGAGACTCCTATCCAAACTTGTATCCTTTCTACATTCTATGGCAAATTGTTTTTTAATTTAGTTAATTGTTGACATCATATCCGATACTTTTTCTTGAGCTACAGTAGATTTGCTTCCTTGGATATAATTATATTTTCTTAATTTCCTGGTACTTCATATGCAGAGTTATCTTGCTTTGTAGATTTTTCTAATTGTACTTCTTAACCTTAGATTAGGGGCAAATATTTCTGCATTAGTTGGAGATTTCATTAACCTAACTTTATTGTGTTTTTGAACTTCTTTTCATGATTAAAAGCTTTCTAAATTTGTTTCCTTAAATAGTACATAGGTGCCTGAATATTCACCCTCATTAGATGAAGAGGGAATAGGTAAGATGGCTTTTGAGTTGATTTTTGCTTTTGATGAAGCCATCTCATTGGGGCACAAAGAAAATTTGAATGTTGCACAAGTTAAACAGTATTGTGAGATGGAGAGTCATGAAGAAAGATTACATAAGTTGGTCCTGCAAAGCAAAATCAATGAGACTAAGGATGTCATGAAGCGAAAAGCTAGTGAGATTGACAAAAGCAAGGTATGCATACACCTTTGCTCCCTTTTCTTAAATAGCTAATTTTCTGCAAAAGAGAACATCTCTTTTCTTGTTACATGTGAAGAAATTGTTCTTCATAAGTTTGATGATATAAAAGGTATCGTGCTTCCAATACTTCTCATTCCTTTATGTTATTTCATTGGCTGAAGTCATGCTTAGTTGAGTTACTCTAACTGATATTTTATTCTGACATCATAATCTATGTTGGTTATTCTCAAGTTACACATACTATATTGTGTGCATTAGTGAATATCCATGAGAGTATGCTTGCCTTTATAGCATGATATGCAGTACCGAATGGTACCGCCCGGTACGGGCAGTACGTACCGGTCCGACGGCATATCGATACGCGGATCGCCCGGTACTGCTACAGTACTATCGTGCTATACTGTAGCAGTGCTACAGTGATATAGTGTTCGATACACCCTAGTGTACCGCTCGGTATACCGGTACCGTACCGTACCGAGCCAACCTCGAAACACCGGTACGGTACGATATTACATACCTTGCTTTATAGGTTGTTTTATGATGATGAATTTTTTTTTAGCTGACAGATTTGCATTAGTCATTAACGTTAGAGTTTAGGCTTCACAATCTAAAATAACTAAGAACTCCAATTCTTGCACTATAGACAAGTTCAGAATTTTAGTAGACATGGTATGAAGAACTAATGTTGTAAACATCAGCAAGTTGAGCGATTCATTTTTGAGCTCGATTATGTGCAAGTTGATTTGACTACACTTTATATTAAATGTCAGTAATGTCACTTGCTGTGTCACATTCAAGGAATGGCCATATCATGTTGTCACACTTGTGCCATACCACGTTGACAACTTGTGTAACTTCATTTGTAGCATGTGCTTCATGACAATAAAAAATCTTCTGTCAAATCTTCTATTCTTTTTCAAATATCTTTTTATATATCAATTACAAAATGTTTCTTAAGTTCAATGCCGAAGTTTTGTAGTTTATGGTTGTTGGACATTTTGTCACCGTCATGCTCTCTTCTATTTTATGATGTGGTACACTAATGCCCGGAGAACATTTACCACACCAACCATAATAATAAAGTAAATAAGCATCTACCACATCATAGAATTGAAGAAATAAATAATTTGTTATTACTTGTTGAAAAGGAATGAGTGATCAGTTAATAACAACCAAAAGAACTTATGTCACACTTATAAAATTTGTTTCAACATTGAACATAATAAAAACACAAATAACAATTGGTAATTCAGGAGAATCTCCTATTGGTGTTAAAATCTTACTAGAAAGTTGTGCTTACTAAGTTTCTTCATCTCCTTTCTTTAGTCATTATCACAATATGCATATATTTTAACATATAATATCACAGAATTGCTCAATTTTTTTGTGGATTTTCTTCATATGATCCCCTGATATCAAATTCATGCAACAAAATTTAGACTATTATGTTCAAGTTCGAGTGAAACTCCTGTAGTGATTCACCAATTGACATAATATTAGTTATGGTTTGCAAAATTGGAACTGGAATTGGGATCAACCAATGATGATACAATGATGGGAGGGATTGGAATTGATAAAAATTCAAAAAGATAGAAATTATAAAACATGGGAAAAAGGAAATAGTGAAATTGTTTAGAACATAGATATATTAAGTAATTAAAAATGTATATGACTATGTAAGATGAATAGTATATGAAGTTATAAATATTATATTTATATATTTTAAGTTATAGATTATAATTTATTATATTCATAAGTTATGCATTTAGCTTGGTGATTGTAATACAATTTGCAGATATTTTTTAAGTTAATAATATAGCTTATGCATAGAATAATAATAAGTTATAGTCATAAATTTGTGGATTTAGATATAACATACCTATGTGGCTCATGCATGATCTATGTGTGAGGACTTAAGGCAGGGCTGACTAGTGATTGTGGTGTGTGTTGTGAACTTGAAAGAGGTGGTACAGAGTCAATAGCTAAGCGGCTGGTGACCAGTGAACTTCCAATGAAGGCTGGAGAGCAGTGGATGGTTGCTCATGGATGGTGGAGTGTGAAGCTAGTCCTTTGCTTTCACTCCCCTCTGGCCTTCCCCTCCTTTTGGTCCCCCTTCCTCATTTTCTTCTGGTGTTTCCCCTTCTCTCTTTCCCACTTTCTTTCCCATCCTTAAATATCTCGTTCAAAATATGATGCAGCTGCAACCCTAAAGCCTGAATCAGCTGATTTTGGACTTTTCTCGAAATTGATCGATGTCTGACTGATTCTGGCAGATTTCTGATCTAGAAATTGAGATTTTGTGGGTTGGAAAGACCGATCCTGGTCTAGAAGATCTGGCCAATTTTGAAAATTATGTCATAAGTTATTTTGGGAATGAGAACTGCAAAAAACAGTTTTTTGGTACGTAATTTTGAAGCCAGTAGTTACTAATATGAGTCATATTATACTAATCTTCCATCTACTTTTTAATGAGTACATAACATCGGAATGAGGGAACTGTAGGTTTAATCAGAAACTGTCTCTAATGATATTAGATACCATTTCTATGTAACAATATCTTTTATAGAATGCAGCCTTTCTAGATTCTTAAACATTTTTATCTTTTGTAAATGACTAAAACCCATAGTTATAAAAAACGAACCGGGAAGCGACCTAGTCACTTGGGTCATTGGTTGAACTAGTGGGTCAACTGGCTGCACCACATGTTTAATTAAAATATAGTTTAAAAAATATTTAATAATTTAAAATTATATATAGTAAAAATTAAAATATTAAAAATAATTAAAAAAAATAAAAAGTAGTGTAGAAAATGATAAAAATGATAATATCAACAAGGGTTTGACTTATCGATCCGAGTCGACGGCACGACACGTGCGGTCGGTATCGGTGTGCCAAGTGTCGAGATGGTGGGGTATGTCGACGACACAGAAAAAAACCTAAAAAATCTTCGAAAATGCTTGAAAAATTAGAAAAAGCTTGGATTAGGGTTTTAAATTTGGAACCAAATGTAAGTTTAGTATAATTTCATCAAAAATATTCTAAACTAGGAAGGAATAGCAACATATCTTTTTCGAGCTTTGAGGAGTAGCGTTGGGGCATGGTCCGAGCCGTCCTTCCATTGATATTAAATTATCTACAAAGATATGAATTGAATTGTTGGATTACGAGTTAAACTTTAAGATTCAAATAAATCAAGTAATAAATGGATTGATCGATGGATATACCTGGTTCTACTACTAAAAAGAATGACGAGACTCCATAAGTGGTTGATTGGGGTCCTCAATCCTATAGATTTGTATATCAATATGGTATGTTTGTCAGATCCAATCTTGGAATTGCTTCCACGACATGGTATATTAATACACCATATGTCATTGGTGCATCAATCTGGTGATGGTTGTAGTTTGATCATCATGAGCCACATGTGTCCAAGGTGGCTCTTGAGACAAGTATGACTATGCCATGCATTAGTGCGGAGGGTGGAGATTGTTGGAACTTCTTCTTTTGGCACTGACTTACCATAGTATGATTATGGCAAGTATGAACTATTTTTCATAAGATCGATGAGCCTCGAAAAAGAATGACCAACTATCACCGTATTGTTGTTGGTCATAAAATCTTTCATAATACGATGGTTGGGAATACGAATGTCCACTCTCAATCCACAAATCACAGTTTTGCTTGAGTTTAAGAGAGTGAAAATGTGAGAATGAGAGAGATATGAGTGAGAATGAGTTTGGGAGAGTTGAAGAGTTTGAGAGAGTGAAAGAGGTTGAATGAGGGGGGAGGAAAGGGTTTAAAAACCCATTGAACTGGTTCTAGCGGTCAAATTAACCATCGAAAATAAGTAAATCTTAGCCCTTTATGGGTATCGGTCGAAATCTGACTATTACTGATCGGTACAAGTCAGTAGCAATTGAGTTTTGATCGTGCCGTCCGATACAAACCTCGTATCACCTGATACGAGGTACCAATACATAATCGCCCGGTACAGGGTGCTCCACGTGCCGGTCACCTGTCGGACCAGTATGTATTGCTTGTACCATACCATATCAGGCGATACCCTGATATCAACCAACATTATAGATGTAAACATTAGGGGTAATTACATTAAATCTGATTGGTCTTAGTTTATTTCTCACGTCAACCTTAATTTTATAGTTGACATAAATTGCTTCCAAAACAAATAATAAAAGTTGAGAGTATTTAAGAAATATTTCATTATATTACAAAACTGGATCAGTTTTTATATAACCCTGTTGGTTCACACTAGTTATCCAAAAGCTGGCCGGGTCAATCGGTTCATTCCAATTTTCCAACACATCTGATCCAATAATTGAATCAAATAAGTTAATTGTCCGGTTCCCCATTTTTCAAGTCCTACCACCTGGTTCAGTCCGGTTCTAATAACTATGCTAAAAACACTTATCCATCAGAAACCTTATGTGCAAATATGTGAATGATGTTATGACATTTTTGTGGGGCAAAATTTTCAGGTGCTGAGCTATTTGTTTGTGAAAGTTGATTTTTATCCACTGGTTGGTCCTTAATCATTTATGAAAAATAGCCAATTGTATTGACCCAATCTTTGAGAATGTTCTTTAATCAGTTCTCATGCAATAAAACTTTGACAACAACGATATTTCATATTTGCAATTTTCATTTCTGTATATTTTGTTAGCTTGGTTTGACTAAGGTCAACGTGAAATTATTACAATCATCACATCTCAGATTTGTATTTCTCTTGACAGATTGAAAAGAACAAAGGCGACAAAGGAGGATTTATGGCTTTGTCTGGCCCTCGAAGAATTGAGAGTAGCTTCAGTGATATGAGTATTTCGAATACTGGAAGTGGCTTTGGCAGTGGTTCTGGAATTGGATTAAGCACTGACATAGAATCCTTAACTAGCAAGCCCAAAGGTATGTTGTTATTGGTGTGTTCTCTCATATGAGCATCTTTACCAAGGTTTACAATAATTTGTATTGCTTAATTTTTTAGTGCATAGCTGATGAATATAATTATTTTACTTTTTTATGAATTTTCCTAATTTTCTTGTGTGATTATCTCTCTACTGCTTTTTACGGTTAAATGCTGAAATAATAGTTTTTTACCTTAATTCATTTTTCATGTTTCTTTCACAGAATTTAAACTTTGCTTGTTTACCCAGTGCCCTTCATAAACCCTGTAGTGACTGGGGAGTTACCAGGCTTCCTTATGTCAAAAATAATAATCAATATTTTCACAATTGTAAGCACTTGACTATTGACATCAAACAGCAGTTGTTATCAGCCTTACCAGATTTAGTTAAACTGGCAATTTTAATAAGGCATCTATAGTCGTTGTCATGCATAAAGTGTTAGTTAAAAACATATGTGTGTGATTTCAATTTTTAATGTTTTAATGGTTTCTTTTTTCTACTAAATACTCTGCTCCCTCAGGTCGTCCATCTGCATCTGCTACTGCTCCCCCCAAAGGCCTTGGTATGAAGTTAGGCAAAACACAAAGGACAAACCAGTTTTTGGAATCATTAAAAGCTGAAGGGGAAGTAATTCTTGAGGATGTGCAGCCAATTGCTGCACAATCGAAGCCATCTCTTCCACCAACTGATCCCATCACATTGACCATTGAAGAGAGATTGAATGTTGTAATTAGGAGAGATGGCGGTCTTAATAACTTTGATATCCAAGGAACTCTTTCCCTTCAAATTCTTAACCAAGAAGATGGATTTGTCCAGTTTCAGGTTCTCTTGCTCATTCACATCCATTTGCAAATGTCATATTGCTTGTGCTGCAACTATATTATTTATTTTTTCTTCTTAAAAATATTGCTGCTTGAATTGTTGTTTGATAGTGCCTTGCATGGTGAATATGTAGGAATCACTATGTGCACTTTGTTATTGTTATGTTCTGCTTTAGACTGACTACAAATTTTCCATGGACCAGTGACATGGTGATTTAATATGCTATCTTTAAAATGATGATAAAAATTATGGAAGCTAAAGTTAAGTATGTTGCTATCATGTACATTCTGCTACTTTAGGAGAAAACTTACAGAAAGTTAATACCCTGTGATTCTGGGTATTGCATGTAAGAAATATTTCCTTTATGATGTCCTGGAAGATCTACATGTGAAACTCAATTAAATATATGATCATTTTTCTATTCATAGATATCTAATTCATGAGTTATTCTTTGAAACTGTATCTTGTTTCCAGATTGAAAACCAAGATGTTCATGGCCTCAGCTTCAAAACCCATCCTAACATCAACAAAGAGTTGTTCAATAGCAAGCACATTATAGGCTTGAAAGATCCTAACAGGCCATTCCCTACTGGTCAAAATGATGTTGGCCTTATGAAGTGGAGAATTCAGGGCATGGATGAAGCCTCTTTGCCGCTAACTGGTGGGTAATATGTGCTTCTTTAGATCTTTGTCGATAAAGAAGTTCTTCTAATCATTTCTCATTTATCTGTAGTCAACTGCTGGCCCTCTGTTTCCAGCGGTGAAACTTTTGTGAACATAGAGTATGAAGCATCAGAGATGTTTGACTTAAAGAATGTTGTCATCTCCATACCTCTCCCTGCGCTAAGGGAGCCACCAAATGTAAGCCAGATAGATGGAGAATGGAAGTAAGTTTACTTCAACTATATTTTTTATTTAGACTTCATTTAGATCAAGTTTCATATCATGTTCACTTAGAGATTCCTATCCACACAAGGAATTGCTTCTAGTAAAGCCAATAATTAGACCTGATTCTAAGTTGGCAAATCCCTTTATTTTTAGCATTATTATTACTCATTAGTCATTTCACTGATTTGTTTTGAATTTGGTACCAAAGAAGTTCCTTTTCACATGTATTCAGATCATTTCTATATCCCATTGCTTAGTGAAATTTATACAATTTATGCACCAAATTGCATGTAGTAAAATTCTTGTTCTTGGCCCTTGAGCTGCAGCTTATTGTCACTGTCAATGATCCAATTTAATGACTTCTTTTCTCAACTTTTGGAGTTCATTTTACTTTTTTTTGTTGTTGTGTTGAAGATTAAATTTCATGGGTTATTAGAATATCGCTTCTATCTTATAATGTCTCACAGTCAAGCTTTTGGTATGTTCCAATCACATGCATGCACATGCACACATATGATCAGGAAACTTTCCTTGTTGATCCAGCCTATGTTCAAAAAATTCAGAGATCAGAACTTATTTACTTGATATTCAGATTAATCAGGGTGCTTTTAGCCCAGTCTTTTGTAGGTTTTTTCTGATAACTTCAGAAAGAGTCAAACAAGAGAGCAAATAAGGCATGCTCACTGAATTTGGCCCACACGTAATTTATATATTTGGTCTCTGACATCGGTAGATGTAGACACAAAAGAAGTGATGTGTCAACTTGAATAACATATTGAAGAAATTCATATGACATTAAGAAGTAAACATGTTTTGTAGGTTAAAGTGGGCATCAGACTCATTTTTCAGATGGTCTCATGACAAAAATATTTTATGGAAGCCATTAAGATCTTGCTGCACCCTTAGAAACTAAAATTCATGAAACTATTTTTTTTCCAGCTGTATTGAAAAAGAAAACTAAATTATTGTACAATATATTATTCTGTGATACATATACAGTATGAGAAGGAAGAAAACATACATATTGTAAAAGTGTAAGGGATACATGGACATGCAAAATATTGTGCTTTTTTCCTAACATTTTTAAATGCAAACTAGAAAAAAAAAGTGTCTAGCACAAGTATTTCCTCTGCCATGGGACAGTATGGGTCCTATGCCAACCGGCACATGTCAGTTGCAATGGAAAAGACAAGTACACCCTTGTTATGGATTTAGTGGTACACATCAACACAGTGCAAGCCATCCATGCACAAAAATTCTAAATGCTGACCTATTCAAAACCATATAGGCTTCAGTCGGTAACTAAATTTTATGTTTTTTGAGTGGATTGATTTAGTAATTTGAACCAAATTCTGGTATTGCTACGAGTTCTAGAACGTCCTTGTGTAGTATGTACTTAGCACGGTCAAGACCATAGCATGATCCATGGCAATGTATACCTGGTAGGTTTGTAATTTCGTACCGTATCGGAGTTTCGAGCTTTGCTCGATATAGTATGGTACGGGCATACCGAGCAGTACCCTAGGGTACACCACTCGATATATATATATATATATATATATATATATATATATATATATATATATATAAAAAAAAAAA